ACAACTTGGCCCAGTGAGAGAGCCTGTTGAGGTTTCTTGCACAAGGTGGATGCCGCCCTCAGGAGGAGTGAATGATACCAAGGCTGTCTTCTAGTCTTCACACATGCGCACATTCACTGACGTCAACAGGGACAACACACACATTTAAAAAATAATAATAATAAAGAAAAGAAAAAAGAAAGTTAAAAACAGTTTGCAGCTCCAAGTTCTCTCTGAGAATTCTTTCTTTCTTTCTTTCTTTTTTTAAATATTTATTTATTTATTATGTATACAGTATTCTTGTCTGTGCGTCTGCCTGCAGGCCAGAAGAGGGCATCAGATCTCATTTCAGATGGTTGTGAGACACCATGTGGTTGCTGGGAATTGAACTCAGGACCTTTGGAAGAGCAGGCAATGCTCTTAACCGCTGAGCCATCTCTCCAGCCCCCTGAGAATTCTTTCTAAAGTGTACAAATGGTTTATTATTGTAATACTCCATCTGGTTTTGTTCTTTGAGGGACCCCTGAAATTTTCTCAAAATTTACTATGTCCCCTTCAAGTTCATCTATTGCTTCAGTCTTATGTTTGAGCCATACAGTAGATTTGGTTGCATTCTCAACATAGTAAGCCAGGATTAAAGCTATTTTCCCGTAGGAGGCGCTGTCCTCAAAGCGAGGTTCCAACCTGTGGGCTGAGACCCCCGGACCAGGGTACTTTCACTACACACCTGTTCTCTGCAGTGCCATTCTGGGAAATGTCTGCATCCTGGTGGATTTCCTAAAGTAAATTAGCTTCTAGAATAATTTCCCACCTCTTGGCTGATAAAGTATGGGTCAGAATTTCCTCCATATTTTAAGAACCCCTCTTGTTCCTTGTTTGTTTTTTGTTTTTGAGACGGGGTTTCCCTGTAGCTTTGAAGCCTGTCCTGGAACTAGCTCTTGTAGTCCAGGCTGGTCTCGAACTCACAAAGATCCTCCTGCCTCTGTCTCCCGAGTGCTGGGATTAAAGGCGTGCGCCACCATCGCCCGGCAAAAAACCCTCTTGTTCTTAAATTCTTCAATACATACATGCTACCCTTCCACTTTAGGAAGGATGTTTCATTTTCCAATTTCATTGCCTTTTTATTGTTCAGGTTTAACTGTGTCTGTTAATTTAATGCAGATTTGAACATATAATATTAGAAGTTATGGAGCATAGGGCAAACTACAATTTTGAAGGCTTTCTGAGAAAAACAATCCCAAATTATGGATATAAAATTAAGAGGAAAGATGAACACTTGCTTAAAATAAGTAGGTAAATAGCAACCAAGATAAATACTACAAAGGCACAAAATCCAGGGGAATAATAAATTAAAGTTACCACTAATCCACATCCCCAGTCCACCAAACCACTTTTAACTATTTAATTACTGAAACATCTTTATAATAACTTTCCCCAACATTTTAAGCTACGTAGATTTGTTTTTCCTACAAATGGTTTTGTAATATATTCTACATTGAGTCTAAAGGTATTTCCAGACACTCCTCTAAAACAGAATTCTTCCAGGGAGATTTAAAATTATTTTTATTGGTTTCTTGGGAAATATTTCCCTTTGAGATGGTATGCATATAGATTTTTTTCTCCCCCCTTTATCTTTACACATCTGTAGACAGTTTCATTAAGCTGTAGGCGTGCTTCAGTGGTTGGATAGTACTATTGTAGTGTAGTACTATTGTACTATTAAAGTGTAGAGATCTTGACACGCCATCGAAGGTTAAAAATATTTTGCTGTATTTTAAAATATAGTTTTTATATTGCAAGAAAAGATTATGTCATAGGAGATGTCATCGCTAAAAACTTAAAATTGTTTTGCAGAAATTGTACCACGAGGGAAGGGATCCAGCAAAAACAAAGGCTTCTGTACTAGATGACCTTACTTTATCTTGAGGGACAGAGAAATTGAATAATTTGCCAAGGACACAGTTCGCAGCAAGCGGATGAATACAGGCACGATTCAAGCGTGAAATTTCTTGAACCATTCTAAATGGTTCCACTGGTTTTTTTGTTTTGTTTTGTTTTAATTCCTGGCTTCCATAAAACTATTTTTAAAAGTTGTTTTGTTTGTACTAGGGTGGCAGGAGGCAGAAGCATAGTTTAGGATCAGCCTGGGTTACTCACTGAGGCTCTGACTCAAACCCAAATTAAACCCAGCAGCAGCAGGAGGAACAAGAACCAGGTGACAGCTGTGGTCTCAGCACCTTGCACTAAAGCGGGATTTTATATTACAGGCCGGTTTGTGCTTCTGAGAGAGAGACCCTGTCAGAAACCAAGCAACTCTATGTTTTTTCAGAACAACACGATGCAACTTAAATATATAAAAATTACTGAAAAGAGCCAGCGTGGAGGCACACGCTTTTGATCCCAGTACTTGGGTGGAGGCGGAGGCAGGTGGATCTGAGTTCGAGACCAGCCTGGTCTACAAGAGCACAGTCCAGGACAGCCAGGTTACACAGGGAAACCCTGTCTCGCAAAAACAACAACCAAAAAAAATTGAAAAAGAAAAGTCAAACACTACACAAAGTCTCGAACACAACGTTCAGAAACACTAAACACAAAGAGCTCCACAAACAGACTTCCTACTATTCCCCCGCCCTAACATTCGGCCCGGCGATTTAACAATTTCTCGACCAGAGGGCGGAACTCTAA